GTCTTTCAGATCCACCATACATAACTAGTATTATATCTGATGCTGTAAATAACGAAATTGATGAAGGTTCTGATGTTATATTTAACTGTAATGTTGATAGCAAACCAGTATCTACTATAACCTGGTCATCTTCAACTAGTACTGATAGTAACACTGGTCAACAGTGGACATTAGCTCAAGCTAAATGTCAGGATACAGGAATCTATACATGTACAGCTAATAATGGTATTGGTCAATCAACTACTAAATCTTTACCATTAAATATTAGATGTAAGTAAAATTTAGTCAGTATACTATAATCAATACATGTTCATCTAATAATGGCATTGGTTAGTCAACTATTAAATCTTTACCATTAAATATTAGATGTAAGTAAAATTTAGTCAGTATACTATAATCTATAGATGTTCAGCTAATAATGGCATTGGTTAGTCAACTATTAAATATTTACCATTAAATATGTGATGAAATATATCTAGTCAGTATATTATAATCTATATTATGTAGAGCTAATAATGGTATTTGATCATTCGACTACTAAATTACCATTAAATATTAGATGTAAGTTTATATTTAGTCAGTGTACTACAATCTATATGTACATCTAACAATAGTATTGGTCAATCAACTACTAAATCTTCACTATTAAATATCAGATGAAAGTATCATGTTTGGTAATTTAATTTTTACTATGAAGTTTGTTTTAGGTTCACCAAGAATTAATGGTGATTTAAAAGATGAAGTAATGAATAGACTAGGTGAAGAAGTTACATTAAGTATTGATGTTATAGCCTATCCTAAACCTAGTTTTAACTGGATACAAGAATCAACAGGACAAGAATTAACACCAGATACAGCTCAACAAGTAGCTATCAATAATTATATTTCAAGTTTAACAATCATAATACAACAATCTTCATTTGGTAACTACATTGTAACTGTTAATAATAGTATAGGTGATGATAAAAGTTACACTATAAAAATTATTGATGGAGGTAAGTTCCTAAATTATCGAATTCAAGTTTGATTGGATTGAATGAATTTTTAAGAATTTATCCTGGTTTTCGAATAATTTTGAATATTGAATATAAGTATATATTGTATTGTATATATATTTTTTAGTTGAATGTTTTTGGTAACTTATATAACGATAAGTCAAATTTATTTAATTTATTCCACAGATCCTGGAACAAAACCGGTTTCTGTTGAACAATCTGGATATCAGAAAGGTTTAAGCACTGGTATTGGAACTGGTATTGGAATTGGTATTGATATTGGTATTGGAATAACTCTTGTTTGTGTATTTCTGGTTTTACTGACAATATTTATATATAGAAAATATCATCCAGGTATTGGTTATCCTGTACTTTATCATAAATATTTTGGGGATCTTTAAAACAGAACCATATACTGCTTTCAATATCTAATTTTATATTCTTTTCTTTTTTAGCCAATAGGAAATTACCAGAAGAAAAGTGAGTTATATTTTCTTTTTTGATCTGGAACTTCTATTCCATTAGACCTACTATAGGGGAAATAAACATTTTAAATCTTTATAACTATTATGCTGATGATGATGCTTTTGTCGAAATCCAAGTCATTATATAGTAACATTGTCAACTACAGACTGGTTTGGAAGAATAGAGAAGTTTAAATCATTATATCATTATATCAGTTATGCAACGTTTTCCAATAGAAATCCTGAAGGTAAATTTTCACACATTTTCAAGAATTTATCATTATTTACACAGTCAGTATAACTATCAATACAATACCCAAAACGTGCAAGTTCTGATAGCGCTCTTCAGCTTTACGGCGGAAACAGCCGAGAGTCGCCAAATGTAATTTTATTCTAAATTATCAGTTTTTATGCACGCTTTTCTTCCCAACAGAGAGAACATATGAAGATTTAAATACTCGTTCTGAAGTTAATGATAACAATCAACATAATTCTGGAGATGCAAAAGAATATGAAAATATGGGAAGAAATGAAATATAACAGACTGTAATATCTGATACAGTACTTGTAATATCCAATACTTACACATTAAATATAACAGACTGTAATATCTGATACAATACTAGTAATATCCAATACTAACACATTAAATATAACAGTGTAATATCTGATACAGTAATAGTAATATCCAATACTTACACATTAAATATAACAGACTGTAATATCTGATACAGTAATAGTAATATCCAATACTAACACATTAAATATAACAGACTGTAATATCTGAT